AAATGTCGAATGTCTAGATTACAGTAGAATGATTTGAGGTATGTTTGATTGATGTGAGGCCATGTATAGGTTCGTCGATGTGAGGGGGTAACCGTCAGTGGTAGTACGCGACCTGGGTGGCGCCAAAAGTGGGGTGTCATGAAGGGTTGTATACGGCAGTTTGGTATTTTAAGTTGCAAGTGTAGCTGTTTTCAACAGATTTTGTGATCAATATTGTGGGAGATGATGTTAGGGAGAATGAAGCGAGACTAGTGGTGGTGGAGTCCGACAGGCGTGGTGACCAGAAGGTGGTGTTATGTGGATCTATCGGTGGCAGCTTGGTGGGGTAGTGAAAGTGGTGGTGGTGGTGGATTATTTAGGACTTATCTGTAATATTTTGAAAATTTTAGAATTATGATTGCAATTAGTTATTTATTTTTTCTTTTCTTTTCTTTTTGTTTCATTTGAAGAAGGGTAAAATCGTTATTTTATTGAAAAAATGGTTGAAAATGACTTTTTGCGCAATGAAATGTGGAACGTATGGATGAAAATATCAAAAAAATGAAAGGTATAAACATTTTACACAATGACATTGAAAGGTGGGGATATTCTGCACAATGACATCATCCAACGTGTCATTATCTCATTTAACAATTTAAAAAAACTATTTTTTATTCACTTATTTCTTGACAATACATTAAGTGTCATATGAGTGTACACGATTGATATACAAATGACATAACCCTTCTTTTATCGTGTGTTTGCTTCTATGTAAAGAAAAATAAAAATAAAAAACGCATATTTTTCTTCAGCATATTAATCAATGCAAAACAAATTTTATAATAATTTGTGTTGTGAAATGCCCAAACATTAACCTTTATTATGCATTACTACTCTGCTTCTTTTCACTTTTTGCGTTATCATTCGTATTATTGGACAAAACACGAAATGGGAGGGTCAAACATATTGCTCGTATCTTGAAGTAGACGATCTATCATATGTTGAGTCGTGTGCAAACCCATCGGGCCAAGGCAATTGACAAGAGCTGGAAGGAAGTTGTTCTCTATACCTTAACCAACATAGTCATTGCACAATCATGTACCACCAAACAATCGAGCATATAAGTCATTGAACAAATAACTTCATCCATCACTATAATAACCACATGACTCATATGATCTTAACATTCCCATGATTTCCGCCCAATGTTTTGAAAACCATATGACACGTCTCGTGTGCATAACAATTAACACGACAACATGCATTTCAACCTAGATAAAGGAAACCATATCCAAGATAAAAAGGTGAACATTATTGTTACACTAGTTTAGTTCATTTGTAATTTTTATACTCTTTTCTTCAAAGAGAACTATTAATTGATTCCAAGCTCGATAGGGACCTAAGAGGGGGCGTGCCCACTCTTTCTTTTTGCAGGACAATTGTTAATAGATCAAGTATGACTATCAAGGCAGGTAAAATCGATCAACAACAGTCCCTAAATAACATTTTTATTCATTTTCTGAATTGAAATAATTACAAAACATCGTGTATAATTAACAATATTTTTAAATCTTGGTTAGAATTGTACTCATTTCTGTGATTTTCACTTGTCCTGGTAAGAATATTTACAAGAGGGTTTTCTTTTTAGACCTCATCGTTGTGATTATGGCAATGTCAAAAATAGTTGGGTTCCAATCATGTCCAAGAAGAAAGAAATGGTCGAAACAATCATTAAGCCTCGCTATTTTCATAAGGTCCAATTTTTTATGTCTCCATGCTTTATGCTTTAAACTTCAATGCTTGTTTTATTTGTTTGACATTTTGCATTATTTTGTTATTATTTACTAGCTTAAGAATAGCACAATTACATTCTTAACATAAAATAAAATTATACCATTAAATTTGTTCTTTTGATGTTAGTGGAAGAAGGATGAACCTTACATAGGCATTTTCCTTGTATTGTTGATTCAACACGTTATTCTCTCGTGTTCACAACTCAGTTTGAGTGAGGACCATATATAGAGAAATAATAAAGCACTTAAAGCAATATCAACAATAAACAAGAAATAGTGTTGAAGAGGGTATACAGCAGAATATATTTGGTAAAATTATTGAAAAAAATAACATAATACTTGTAACCATTTAAGGATTTAATTGATGAATCCCTGATATCCAAGTAAATCAATTCAATTATATTAGAGCAGAAACAGGAAAAGAAAACAAGTATTTCTGTGCTTTTCATAATACTAGTTTCATTGAGAGTTTGTATTTCTGTGCTTTTCATATTAGACACATGTACTATCATTTTGGATAAGGTTTATGATTAAAGTTATTTTGGTTTATTATCTCTGAACTTGTTTGAAAAGGATCTCACTAAGATATTAAGGTGGACTAGTTGGAAATAGGCATGTTAAGTTCACATCACATGTAATTTCCATACTACACATCATACTTGATCCATGTCATTCAGTTATGTCGATATACGTGATCATTGATGAGTTTAGTTACGANCGATACGAGTAGCGAAAGCCTCTTTGATCCTATGTTGATATGATTGGTGGACCGGATTGTTTGGGGATGCATTCGGTAATGATAGCAAAAGTCTGAGTATTTGTAAGGTTATGTTTAATGCATAATTATAAGGTAACAAGTATAGCTTAAGTGGAAAATTGTAAGGATGTTAATCAAACACGTGGGCTTATATGTGGAATATTGTATATTAAATTAAAGACTATTAATTTTGGTTAAACTCATTTAAAGTAATCTAATAAAGTTTCGGTATTTTGATTTTCGAAGCATCTAATTAAAGTATGAGCCTTTATATGTACAGACCAGATACATTCCTAATTTCATGATGGATCGAATTAGGTAAATGGGCCGTTAGTATATATATGTTTATGGTC